CTTCCTCTTGCAAAGTGGTGGCAGAAAACTTTGTGCCGGGATTTCTGATTCCGAATGGTGTTATTTGCCAGGATAGTAAGTGAGAGTAGCCGGAGTTCCCTTTTCACCCAGGGAACTGCAAGGTATCGTTTTAAGTCAAGGCTGGATGATAGACAAGTTTTAGGTACCACTCATTACCAACCATGAAAAGCACGGGGTCTACCTATGTGTTGGACATCTATCTACAGTCCTTGTTACTATCTCACTGGAGCATCTCGGGGTCTTTGACATACTCTGCTCCTGAATGAGAGATACGGACGTGGCAATTGCCGTCTTTTCAACAGAGTTAGGGTACGTGAGATAAAGCGCGAGTCGGCAATATGCTTCGACTGCCAGTCGTGTCACCAGGATGATCTTACGAGAGGATTGATGGACCGTCTGCAGGATGGTGGATGCACATTTTGGGGTTTCGAGTTGCTTTCAGTGACGGCACCGGTGGGGCAGAGTGGGAAAGGGCATGGAGGAAGGTCAACCTCAGCAAGTCCCATCAGAGGCTTGTGGCTGTCCCAACTCCTCTAACAGGGTTCATGGGGAGCACGGACCGTGGCCTAACCTGTGCGTTTCCCTACGGTGCTCCTGTGTCCAGGGGAGCACTGCAACCCCTTCTACACCACGCTGAGTCTGGAAACACCTCTCCGCATCCTTGCACAAACTAAGCTTTCTCCCCGCACGCATGTGTCGAAGACACATCCGTGCAAAGCAGCACAGAGAAGTGAACAGCGTGTCCCAGCACGGGTGGGAAATGGAACCGGCAAAAAGTCTCCCACAAAGGTCACTCGCTCCCACCCACGCACAAAAGAAGTTAGCACAGCTCTGGGTATTCACAGTCCCTATGAAATCCACCCTTCGCGCTCTCCGGGTTGCCTCTGCAGCCTTCGCCAGCCAACGCGACCATCCTTCATGCCGGCAGGTGCCATACAAAATCCCAAAACAGCGCCGCAGACAAATGTTGTCAGACGCGGAGAGCTGCTGGTGAGCTCCCAGCCCACAGCTGGCAGAGTTTTCAGTTTTTAAAAAGGTTTTTTTTTTTCCAAAAAAATGTGGCTGAGTTGAATGTACGTTGTTCTGCAATGTTTCTGCTTCTGATTAATCTTTTTTAAAATTAGCTTCACAAAAATATTTTGAGAAAAGTAACTGGTAGTTCTCCCAGCCATTTTTTGTTGGTTTGTTTTTGTTTTTTTTTTTTTTTTCCAGTGGAAAAGAAAGCTGGGGAGAAAACATTAACTCAGAAAAGCATGAAAATTTCCTTTTGTGAATTTACAGTTTTTCACATGTAAAAATGTTTGCCTATTTTTAATAACTGAGAGTGGGGAAACTGTTTCCTCAACTTTACTCAAGTTCAAAAAAAGAAGATTTATAAAATAAGTCTTTTTAAAGCAACCAGAAATCAAAATGGAACAAAAAAATTTTACGGCAATACAAATATTTTCCATATGGTTGAAAAGCTTTAGCAAAAAATAGTCCAGCTTAGCTGCTGATAAGTTTTGAGTAAAAATATTTGACGCAGAAGTCTTCCTGGAAGAGTCAAGCAAGCCTTTGCTGAAGAAGTCAATCGACACCAGGCCAGTGAGCTCTGTGTAGCGTCCAGCTCTGAACGCGCGCGGGACAGACATGCGGGTCACAGGAACACTGGATGCTTGTATGAGACCTCTAAAACATGCTGTGTGTCCTGTGTTGTAGGACAACAGAAGGTAATTTTAGCAACCTTCAGAGGGGCAGTTGAGGTGACATTTTGGCTAGCGATAGCTGGATGCAAGTACAGATACTCCTGCATCAATGGGCCAAGGGGAGGTCTTCCGAAGATCCCACCACAAGGCCCTGCTCCGGCAATGCTTTTGCTAGCATTTGGATGACATCTTCGTGGTGGAGAGGAGAGGATGTGACTAAATGTCCTATCGTTCCCCCATTTTCAAAGAGCATTGGAGAACATACCCTACAGGAGCAACCCATCAAGCCGAACCTGGAACTCCAGGGGGACCAAGGTCCAGCAGAGATGGACACAAGTCTTTGCTAACCACAGTTTTGGAGACCCGCCTTGCACCTGTGTTTGGCCTGTCTTGAGCGCCCAGGGTGGGCTAAAGCAGACAGGACAGTGTCGAATGGGACCTGCTGGATGCACTTACTCCTTTTGTTGCAGCAGATCAGAAGGTAGGATGGAGGTACCTGGGCTAAGCCAGGCGCTGCAAGCATGGGCTTATTACCCATCCCACCTCTGCGGTAAGCAGCCCTGCACCGTAGGCACACCATCCACTGCGGTTGGCTGGTTTCCGCTACCGGAGCGAGAGAACTCAAAAGTCGTTTCTGGTGTGAATGCAGCAGTGTCTTCTGCAACAGGGATGTGGATGACATGGACGAACGGCCTTGGGATTGCATGGGTGGGCGCGGGAGAAAAACAAGACAGAATCTAGCAGAAAAGCAGAAGTCTCGGCTCATCATTTGCCTCACGCCCATGAAACTGTGCCATGGAAAAATAGGTTAAGACCTGAGCAAGCCAATAGTGTTTCACTGTGAGGGCAGCTCCAAAAAACCCCCAAGCCCAGCGAAATCACAAAATGACCCCCCCTTTCCATTCAGGTTCTAGGGGGGGTCCAACAAAGTGTTTTTATAGTTTACCAAGATTAGATATTTCACTTCATTTTAAAACTTCAGAATGTCCCTTTTAAAAAAAACACATTTTAAAAGGAAATAGCATTAAAAACCACCCAAAAAAGTACTTTGAAAATGCAGATATAGACAATTATGAAGGGTTTTAAATGCTGAATTTCTCTTTTTGTGTCTTCCCCCTACCATAAAGAATTGCTGAAATAAACTCATTTTGCATACAATACTTTAATTATTCCACATTTGCATTTTTGCAGCAGCGAGGAGCAAAAAAGTTCATTAGGGAAAAAAAAAAGTAAATCCCCCAGTTCTAGGCACATCCCAGATTTATTGAATTCTCTTTTTCCTCAATAAAATA